TTCCTTTAAACTAGATCATCAACTGCTGGTCAAATGCATTTTCTGACTTCTGTCTGTACCAAATAGTCTTATCTGTGACCTTGTGGTGGCAGTACAAGCTGTTGAAGACAACAGTAGCTGAGGACAGCGCACCTATTGATCACCTCAGATTTTCTCACTAATGCATTGCTTATTCACTGCCTGTGTGGCATCACATAAATTAATAACGTCTCTCCAGCAGTCTCGCTTAGAGGCCTTCTCTGCTCGGCTGGCCGACTCTCTGTCCCAGGAGTCTTACACGGCTGTGTTTTTTTTTTTTTTTTTTTCTTTTTCACTTCAGCATATTTTTATCTGTTGATGTCTATACACCTCTTTGTCTATCACAGCACAGTTTGTATTTCATCCAAAGCATTAAAAGCTTTCATACAATTGTGAAAACAAACACTGTTAATACAGAAGTGAAAAAATTACATATGGCTTGGTTTTGACAGCCACCACAGAGCTCATAAATCTATGATACAGCCCAGAGGTTTGATCACAGTTTCACTCTAACTGCTTAATCTTGACACAATAGCAGGACTTAGTACAGATCTGGGGATTAGCTACTGTTTCACTCCTGGGGTTTCAGATATTATTGTCAAAATCACTCTGCTAGATTCCAGTAAGACTCTAACACTGTATATGGACACTGACCAGACAGCCCTAAGTCTTTCAGTAACCTCTTTTTGTCAGGCAGCCAGGGGAAAGCTAGTCAGAATCAGGAAGTAACCTTCCAGCCACTGAAACAGCAGCCTGTGGTAGAAGAAAGCATAAGCATTGTGCAGCTGATCGTAAGGCATGTGAGCTGTTATATTCTCTGTGTGCATGTACTGTATGTTAGTTTGCTGGGGGGAGGAATGCTACTTCAAGTACCGCCAACATCCATCAGTATGACAGAGATAACATTGCACTTTCTGTTAGTATTTATAATAATATGTTTATTACAAGGCTGTTTGAAAACTTTCTGTCGTCCAATAGGACGGATGATGGCCCATGTAGGCAGGTCCCCGTCCCTGCAGCCTTTCCTCCGGCCCAGATGCACGAATGATTGTGACACACAGAGTTCAATGGGCCTGTCAACCCACTGGTTCTATGGATATGAATTACAGTGCAGTCATCAAAGAGTCACGTTTCCCTAGTACCATATTGGTCTGAATAGTCACAGTTAAATCGGCCATACATGTGTCTCTCGGTATAATCCTAATGAGCAGTGTTTTCCACTCACTTTCCCAAAACAGGTGAGTCTCCAGGTTGCTGCTCAAAAGTCCTTGGCCTGCTTATCTGTGATGAATGGGCTATTTTTTTGGCTTAAGTTAGTTTTGATGTAAATGGGTGCTGGTTAAGTGGTTTATAGATGGGAAACATGATTGCTTGCTGGTCCCCCGTTGAAGACAACACTTATTTATGACTGACTGGCAGATGTTGTGAGGTGCAGTGTTCTTCCTGCTGCCTGTGTAACGTCAGGTTTATTCTCCCCGGAGCGCCTCATTCGATACCTCTTGAAATGCAAGCCTGCTGACCACAGCGCTGACAAACACACCTGCACACCTCATTCATAAACCATCACAAGGTGACTAAAAGCACACCTGTGCCTTTCACCCTTCTTTGAACATTGCACACTTTTGCTTTCCATTCATAAAAATAACACTTTCCGCATTTGTTCTTCCTCATCTCCGACACACCTGAGCACAAGCAGGATTTTCCTACATTGGTAAAGCTCATCATTACACATTCAACTGTGCCAGAGCATCATCTGCATTTGCCCCCATTCTTTTGTCAACATAGGTGGTTTAATTTAATTTGATTCAAATCACGTGTTTCCAGTAGCACAATGAGATTCATTCCACATCAACACATGGATTAAACATGCTCGTATAGCTCTTCAAAGTAGCTGCTATGAGTACAGTGGGCACTGAATGGTTTATATATGCTTTACAATGGCTGTACTGACCTGAAACACTAAGTTCGGCGATAACTGTGTAAAAGCCAACTGAGCTTTCATTTCCTCTTTTAAAAGTTATGTTTTTGGTGGTTGTTTGAATATAATCGTTATGACACTTGGGAACTGACTTCCCAATCAGTTTCACACTTTATCTCCTCGGTGTTAAGTGGCTAGAAATTTAGAAAAAAATCCACACAATATCTAAACACAGAGGTACTTCATTTGTATGATTTATCATCTGTAGACATACTGTAACACTCTAAAATATACAAAAAACAAATTTTGTGTCTGAGCAATAACATTCACCCTCTGATAGATTAAAATCACCACTCAATCTAATGTGATTGACCCTAATTTTAATAGCGTTTTTGTGGGCTCAACAACCACAACAGGGAAATTAGAGAATGTTATACAACAGAGACACACTGTGACTACATGTACTCATCTCTAATAAAGGGCATGATTGTAATTATTTGCAGCATGGTAAATTAATAATAGGTGGTAAGCACCTGGGAGAGTGATGGAGGCCGCATGCAGCAGAGGCTGTGAAGGAAAAGGCAGGCTCGGCCTCATCTTGGGCCTCATCTTGGGCTATCACATTACCTCAGTCCTCATGATACATGGAGATGTTGGCCTCTCTCCGTGGCCCCCATGGCTCTGCCTGCATTCACTTACTCTTAAAGTGACACGTCTCTTCTTGGTATCGGAGCCGACTGCGTGATGGCACAGGTGTCCACTTTTTTGGAAGACGGTTTGACATATATGAGGATAGATAAAAGTGAGAAAGAAAAGATGATGACACTGGAGGCATCATGTGAAATCCTGCCATACAGATGGTATTTTGTTGGACTTTACATACTATGCTATTTGTTGTTGCTCACATTCAGGGCTATTGCAAATTTAAATTAGTCTATGTAATTTTTGCATGTTTTCATCCTGTAGGCTCTTTTGAAATTAATTTTGTTGATTTTTGTAAAGTTCATGGCATTTTATCCCGCTGAGTTATGCACTAGTTATTAGGGTACGCAATGGACCACGTTTTCGTCTATACTTCATAAGAGCATGGAGAATATAATTAATATGAATTTAATGTGATAATAATATGTACAGATTTTGCAGTTCCAGCACGAACTTCCTATTTAGCCATTATCTAAAGTGGTATAACTTCAAAAAGTGAAGAAATGCATGTGCTGCATATTTCTGAAATAGCAAATTGAAAAGACTTCATACGCAGCTTGAATGTGTTTCGTAGGCTCTCGAAATCAGTGATGTGCATTAACCGGTTTGGCTGGCTATGCCATTTTGAGAGGGTAGTCAGGTGCCTGAAGCCAGGAAACAATGCTCTCCACTCTGTTTGTGTTGTGATGCTTTGTTATGGCTTTGTTCTGCTCTGTTTGTCCTCTCGGTCTTTTGAAGAGTGGACCTCACTCACTCACCGAGCTCTGAGAAATGCTCTCTCTAATTCTCCCTCTCTCTCCCCATCTATCTATCCATCTATCTATGCAGAGTATAATTTCAAGAACAAAACTAGGCCACAGTATGATTTCACATTCGTTACTCAGCCAATAGCATGCAGCCTGTTTCAATGTGCATCTATTTATCACAGAATCCCACAGGCATTCTCTGCACCAGATTGGTTTTTGCTTTAAATTTATCACATACTATAAGACAGCATTTTATTCGATTTCATGTCCCCAAAATGATTAGCACTCAATATTTGTTTTATTGGAGTAAAAGTGCTGCCTCCTGAAAAGTCGATATATCAAAGCGGGAGCAGAATGAAACCAAATATTCTCTGGAATATTTCTTATTCTTTTTCTGATCACAGTGTGAATCTGAAGGAATCTGAAGGATAACAACACAGATGTCTGGGCAAGGAGATGGGGCTTTGCTGCGGTATGAAAGAATGAGAGGCACCTGCTGGTTTAAGCCTGTTATTTTCCATTGTGATAGTAAATAAGCATTTCACCTGATGTCGACCAGACAGAGGACATTCAGAGGCAGTGAGCTGAATAGCAGGCGATGCGACTGATCACAAGGAAACACATTTATCTTGTTTATCCTAAATCAGTTTTCTTTGAAATAGTGGAGTTTGTTTTTCTCCGCCTATTTCTGTGCGTATGTTTGACCTTGATTGTGCACATAATGAGTCTCTGCGTGGGTGTGTGTGTGTGTGTGTGTGTGTGTGTGTGTGTGTGTGTGTGTGTGTGTGTGTGTGTGTGTGTGTGTGTGTGTGTGTGTGTGGTGTTAAATGGATAGGCGTGGTCAGCTGAGATCTACTTTGGCTCAGTCTATGGTAACACAGAACTGCAGATGGAGCAAGATGGGGTGTGTGACTGCTGTTAGGAGCAGAAATCTGAAGAGGTAGTGTAAACAGAAAAGGGTAGCATGGCAGTGGTTGAATGGGAAGTGTATGCATTAGCAGGTTCTGCATGTGACTGTTTATGCTTTCATCGCCAAACAATCAATTTCCATTTGTTGAAGAAAGGTAAAGTATTTTTGTTTCTGCTGTTTTAATGAAACTTAATAGTTCAGTAATAGAAATGTGTTTTCTTTCCAAGATTGAGATAAGAGGATTGATATCACTGTTACGTCTGTGTTTTAAGCATGGAGCTCAAACCGAGAGGCGATTAGCCACACTTTGCATAAGAGACTGGAGGGAGAGGGACAAGCATGTAGCCTAGCTTTCTCCAAAGGTTTTGTTAAAAGCCTCTAAAACCCCTGAAACCAAACATTCTCATTTTTACATATCTGTTTATGTATTGTTTAAACAAACAAGATATGTTTTGTGTCTTTTTAATTTTGGAGAGAGCCATACTAGCTCTTTCCCCCTGCTTCCGCTCTTTATGCTAAGCAAGGCTAACTATTTCTTAGCTCCAGCTCCACACACAAATAGACATGACAGTGGTATCAATCTTCTTATCTCTATCTGTGCTATTCCTTTAACACAGGTTAATGATGGGATGCAAAGTAATGAAACTGGTCTTATCTGATTTCAAACTTCCTATTCATTTCTCTTCTCTGTTTTATGTGTTTGCAGACTCAGAGGCCTTAAGTTCTTGGGGAGGTATCACACCGCAGAAGAAGCAGAAAAGATTTTATCAGGAGGATCGAGCAAAACAGGCCAAATATCAAACTGAAGTTGATGGTTGCAGAAGCCAAACAAGGGCAACGCACCAAAAGAGCCATGTGGGAGGAGAGTGAGGGGGTTTTGCAATTCACATGCATCAAGTCCAAACACTCTCTCTACTGACATACACTGAACATTCCCCAGCCCTCCTCCAGAGCTTTTCCTCAGGGGGAGCCCCTGCTATGAACCCCAGCTCCCTTGGCTTCAGCAGGCAGTCCAACCTCAGTGCCAGGCGCTGTGTGGGCATCCCACAAGTCTGGGTTCTGCCCACACAGGACTCACAGACTGCCCCTGAACAAGAAGAATGAAATACTCCTGAGTCACTCCTCTGTGTGGTGGCTCTCCTGTCTAGTGTTAAATTGGTCCGTTGTGAAGTTTTGTCTGCCTCTTCCCCAGCAACCTCCTACCTTTAGTGAAAACCCTCTCCAACTCTTCCATAAGCTCCCTTTTAGTCACCGCTTCGTTATAATTTGCTTTCACATTAAGCAGCAGCACGAGTTCCTTTGTGCTTACCACGTGGTGGAGGACCATGGGATGCCGTCAGAGTTCGGAGGAGAAGGAAGCCGCGCGGCGCTCGCGGCGAATCGACCGCCACTTGCGCTCAGAGAGTCAACGGCAGCGGCGTGAGATCAAACTACTGTTGCTGGGCACCAGCAACTCGGGCAAGAGTACCATCGTCAAACAGATGAAGATCATCCACAGTGGAGGCTTCAACCTGGAGGCATGCAAGGAGTACAAGCCCCTCATTCTGTACAATGCCATCGACTCTCTTACCCGAATTATCCGGGCCCTCACCACCCTCAAGATCGACTTTCACAATCCTGATCGCGCCTACGATGCCGTGCAGCTCTTTGCCCTCACAGGGCCGGCTGAGAGCAAAGGGGAGATCACTCCAGAGTTGCTGGGGGTCATGAAACGTCTGTGGGCTGACTCAGGGGTCCAGGAGTGCTTTCAACGATCCAATGAGTACCACTTAGAGGACAACACTGCCTACTACCTGAATGACCTGGACCGCATCTCCGCACCTGAGTACATCCCTACTGTCGAGGACATCCTCCGATCCCGCGACATGACCACCGGCATTGTGGAGAACAAGTTCACCTTCAAGGAGCTCACCTTCAAGATGGTAGATGTGGGTGGACAGCGTTCGGAGAGAAAGAAGTGGATCCACTGTTTTGAGGGCGTGACTGCAATCATTTTCTGTGTCGAGCTAAGTGGCTATGACCTCAAACTCTACGAGGACAACCAGACGGTAAGAAAAATCTGATTTGAAAGGACCCACATTTCCACTCCCAGTAGATGTATGCATATGAACTTATGTATACACAAAATCACACTTGCATGCAGCAGCCACTCACACTAACATAGTTGTTTGAGGAGAGACAAACCCCTCACAATCCATTTAGCACAAATTATACAAATATTCTCTCATGTTAAGTTTTTACACCATTCGTGAGAAGAGGTGGAACATTCATTTCTCACCACAGGATTACATAATTTAAATGACACAAATACATCTCTTGTGTGAGACAGATAATACTTATCTGATTTACTGCAATGATTTTCGATATCAATGCCAAACAAGTAATATTTTAGCAAATGGTTTAACAGCTCTGAGAAGCAAAGGGAACACAAGCCTGTTCTGCTGTGTCATTTCCTCTCTGTACATCCCCATCTACAATACAACAACCGTGCTTTAGCTACACTGATACAGGGACTACATTTTTTCTCCTTTTATCTTTTCTTTGTGACTGCATTTTTTGAAAAAAGGGACTGTCTGAGGTTAATACGGGGTATTTTCAAAATCATCTTTGCAAACTGTGCTGCTTGATTATTACTCTCAATTAAAACAATACTTAGAAGAGTTTAAACATTGAATTTCAGTTGCTAGTTATTACCTACATTTTATTTCAGTCAATTGACTACATCATGTCTTCCTTTCTCATTTTAAATTTCTTACGCTTACTTTAGTCTCTTTTAAACCTTATAGAGTAAATGATAGCATCTTGCTCAACACACTGACACCCAACTGTCTAATGGAGACAACTTGGTGGGAGCAAATGCACAGTCTTTAGCTCACTGAAGGAGTCTGAAACCACCAAACTGCTGAACAGCTTATCATTTTAAGTAGGTAAACAAACATGCATGAGTGTTAAAGTTCACTCTACTAAGTGGACTTTGAGTTGAACAGGTATCGGATACAGCTTTGTAAAGCTTTAAGTCTATGCAAAAAATAAATTGTTTACCAAAATTTGGGGGATATGAAGTTGCATGAATGATCTTTTCTGTGGAGAGACCTGATTTGGAGGTTGGCCACAGAAAGCCAGAAAAACTAAACATTTTTTTGGTATTCACTATGGACTGATGACTGGAATTTAATTGTATTCATTGCTGAGCAGCTACCCTACCACATATCCAACATATTCTTATTTTCATCATTTATTCCTATTGTAAGTGTTTAAAGTAAAGTGTTTTTACGACAAAATTAATGAGGCTACTTTCCCTTTCCCTAATAACCTCACAGGGAAAACATGACCACTTTATCCACTGGTCCTAAATGATCCTGTACAGTTCATTCAGTTTTGATTAAATAAACAATTAGGAAAGCCAAATTTTATGGTCGTTATCCAAAGTCCTTTGGCTGGGGGCATGAGTGGACTGATTTAGTAGAAACTGGTGAAATGCATTTACAATTAAAATCATTTTAAATCTGTCTGACTGAAGACAGTGGCCAGTGTTTGTTATCTCCTTTTCACGGTTGTGGAATTTGAACAATTTCCTATCCACAGCATATCCATGTTCTTATCTGAGTGTTTTGGAATAGTTAGGTAGTTATTGCTTGTATAACTGCTTTTTCTGATAACGGAGGGTCAACAATAGATAGTATTTTACCTTTTTCTGACAAGGTCATCTATGAGGGGTCAACTATTTTCTCTTTCTTCACGGGCATGATTACATTTTTTTCCCTGAAGACGTTCAAGTATCCAGGTTCACCTTGATGTCTTTATACAGTCTTGACTAGAAATAGCTTGAGTACACAGGAAACTTTGTCATCTCTGTAACTGAACTGGCCTGATAATTCATGGGTTACCCGGATAAAACAGGGTGTACATTGTGCAAGGTTGGAACATGAAATCAATTAGTTTTATAGGTTAAAAATAAAGTCTGAGGAGAAAAATGCAGTATGGTGTTAATTGAGTTCACAGAATAAAGTGTGAGGCTGTACCTGTGAGAATTAGCAGATTGTGAAGGCACTGTGTAGCAATGGGAGTTCACAGGTACTCGAAAAAAAACAACTTTTATTATTCCAAGATAGGAGAGGAAGAAGAAAGCCAGGGATCATAGGCGCCAGAAAAGAAGACATCCTGAAACTGGAGCAGCTGTCCTGTCGCAAAGCCTACCGAACATGTACATTAGCTAATTCTGATTAGCTGATTTAGCTGATCTATGGTTGGTTTGTGGTTGAATCATTGCCTGTTTTTACAGATTTATGTGGTTTAACACATGAAGCAAAGATGTTTAGTATCCAGACTGACATTTTGCCTTATCTGATTCAAGTGAAACCCTTTAACAAATAACCAGTTATGGTTTTCTTATTAACTGCATCAGCTCTCAGTCCACCTGGTACATTTTGTACATTTTTAGATGGGTTTTGAGGTTTTTTATTATTGCCTGTGTGTTGTTGCCACTGCTGGAGTGTGATGAGCACACATGCATAGTGTTATCCCTCATTACAAGATTGGTGCTATTCACATGCGGTCATACACTTTTCTTGTGTGAGGATGAAAAAAACTCTTAAATGATTATTCATGCATTTTAGAAACCACTTAATCTATTCAGGGTGAGAAGTTAGGGCTTATCCCAGCATGTAATTAGTTATAAGTGGGGTACATGCTGAAAAAGTTGTCAGTCTGTCGTCCAACTGTCTTGCTGTGAGGCGACAGCACTAACCACTGAACCACATCCAATAGTTGTTCTTGTCAAAATTATTGATGAGAGCATGTAACAGATAGAATACCACAATTAATATAGTGATGATCGGGCATTTCCAAACCGTTTTCTTGCATGCATGTGGCTAGGATGTTAGTCATATTCAAGCTATTGCAACTATACTGCAAGACCAAAAACAACGCTCATCAGCAAAGCTGAACACCAACGATGTCCTTCAGATAAAGAACTTTTCCATGGTCGCTTTTCACTGCACATTGTTTGAAATGTTCTACATTTGTGGATGCTAACATCCTTAACATGATCAAATATTATTTGCTACTGTATCATTAGTAATGAGCTCAAATCTTTTGGTTTCAACAAATTGGTTTGAAAATACCAAATGTGAAATATTATGCAAAAATCAATGAATACAGATTAAACAGAATACTGATGGCAGGAGCACATAAAGTAAAATCCGATATTCATGACTTTCAGGACAGTAAAACAAATGTGGTTGGTTAAATTATTATCAAATCCAGAGAGTAGGAGAAATTAACATTTAGTGGGGAATTGAAAAGTGAAGCCAAAAGTCTAACTAGCAGGCTAACATCATTAACTGGTAGGTGGTCTCATAACAGATACACCATTTCATGTCCTTATTTTCTTCCTCATATTTTATCACAAGTATTATTATAGCTACATACATTGTTCAAATAGACATACATATGGCAGAAATGTGCATAAGTGTATCAGGGCTTGTTAAAGTATGACCTACAGAGTTAATTTACTCACACATATTTTAAACTGAATATTACACAATGCATTGGGGATGTATTTAGTTTGATGCATTCACACCACAATAATACTGAAATTTGTAGATTTGAACCAGTCAGTGACAAAGTACTTACACAGAAACATAAACTCTGAATTGATTTTGCTGTCATTTGTGATATAATATAGGCTGAACATTTATACTAAAGCCCAATGCAGATTCATGAAAGGAATGCTGTACTAGCATACAAATGGAGGCCATAGAGGACATCTGGCCACACCCTCAATTGTGATGATTGCAGCATTGATTCTAAATGTCATATACACTTTACACCTAATCTAAATGTTACCGCACTGAGTGCAGGTACTGTATTGTCGCTGTTGGTACTTCAACATGTACAGAAGGCTCCTAAGTGAATTCCTGCATCTTGGAACTGCCTGCTTCCATAACCAGTGTCAGCTGACACAACACTGCTGAACAGCTGTTACCTAACACATAGTCTAGCCTCTACATGCTCAATACATCTGCAGTGCGAGAAAGAGAGGAGTGTTTGTGTCTGTGTACTGGATATCTATTTTACATGGCATGCCGCATAGGTCCTCCTCGACTGAAGATGGTTAAAGGACTGGGTCATTAAGCTGACCCTGATTCAGATACAGAGAGAAATATACTGACAAGCTACTGTAGAAGAAAAAAATTAAAGAAAAATACAAAAATATAGAGATTATAAAATGAAGAGGCAAATTTCACCCCTTTACAATAAACAAACCATTACACAATACCTGCAAATAAAATACTTCAAATATATCTGCAAAATATTTACAGAAACCTACAGTATGACCATGTCAAAATGGTCAAGCAGTCTGCTGGGTATTAAACATGCTTCAAACACACTAATAGTTTTTCTAATAGCAGACAACATCCCAAGCAAAGACAAGGTAACAAGTGAATATATTTCAAACCAGAAAGCAGATACTGACAATCAACAACAGCTAAAAAGCTTCTGACAAACAACAGATCATGAGGCAGATTGATCGCACAGGAAATGTGTAGATATTTCTGAGAATTTTTTTTTCCAGCTATTTAATCTGCGTGTACAAACGAGATGACTCGATACATTTTTACACACACATACATATATAACTACATCCTTTTGTTAACATTTGGAAGATAATTTCGGGTTAACACTCAACAAAAACAAAAGAACCTAACCTGAACTCAACTAACAGCTGGCGCTGTGAAGACATGACCAGTGCAAAGGAAAAGTAGTGCACATGCATTGGTTTAAACCTACCATGTATATATTGATAACTAATTAATGGGTCTTTTGCAATGAAATTAGCAAAGTGTTATAATTACAATTCATGCATTGATAAGACAAGCTGTTACTTTAATTAACTGCCTTAGCAGTGGAGCTAATTTCCCTCCAGCATCAGCAGTATTTACTCTTTGACTCAATGAAAACATTGACCTTCCTGTCTCCATGTCAACACAATATGAACAAAGAAACCTATGACCTTCTTCACCTTAGAACAACCACAACTCAGCCA